AAGCCTCAGCAATTTCACCCCAATCCCTCTGAGTTTGCCTCTGAATTTCTTTTTGCTGGATGATACTAACTGAATACTGTATGCACAACACATTGTTACGCCCTGGGGATATAATGGTGAAGCAGTACAGATCCATTCTTGAGAAGTCACCTGCCAAGTCATTGTATTCAAGAAGCAATGCCAGGAGAGATGCCATAGAAATCACCTTTAGAAACACAGATCATAAAGACAGACTATTAGTTGAACCTCCAGATTTTTGTCCGTTTTGAGTGCTCTCAAAATGAAACCCAGGTTAACCTCACACTAGCTATTCTCTTGCCTCAGCCTCCTGAGTGCTGGGATTTCAGGCATCTACCACCAGATTTGGCCCATTACTTTTTAAAAACATTTTTTTTTTTTTTTTTTTAAATAAGAGAGCCTCATGTAGTCCAGGCAGGACTTGAACTCATTATGTAGCTGAAGATGACCTGGAACTTCTCATTCCTCTGCATCCACCTCTTAAATGATGTGATTAAAGGAATGTACTACTATACCTGGTTTATGCAGTGTTGGAGATCGAACCCAGAGTTTCAAGTATGCTAGGCAAGTACTCTACTAACTGAGCCACGCTCCTAGACCCCAATATTACTTTTGATTCCTGTGTTTGATCCTATGGTTTTTTGTTTTGTTTTGTTTTGTTTTGTTTTGGTGTGTGTATGGTCATTAACAAACAAACAGCCCATTCTGGCTTTTTAAAATACTAACTGGCACTCATTAGTACCTAGAAAAATGATAGAAGAAGTTGTTTTGAATAAAGATGACATGTCTAGGGGTGCTGGCGTGGAAAAAGGAAGGGGAAGCACCTGGACACTGATGCACTGCTAGTCTAAGAGGAACCAGAGTGTGAGAAAAACACAAACACAGAGAGGAGGAAATATGGGAGAAGCGTTGGAGGAAGAGCAATGTGGGGTGAGAGCTATGGCAAGCTGGATGCCAGGGTCCCCGGGGTATCATTCTGCAGGCTCGCTTTCCCATATTTCACATAGGTGCACAAAAACCAGCTTAAAAGTCCAGGGAACAAATACGCAAGGTTGCATATACCTCTAATTCAAGAAAGTGGGAGGCCGAGGCAGGTTGCCCCGAGTTTTGAAGCAGGCCTGGTCTGTATGTCCTGGCTGGCATGGGAAGAACAAGTCCCAAACAACAGCAATGACAGAGAATACAGAGGACAAACCCACTATTATGTTCTTTGAGTAGGACATTTGTATAGTTCAGTGTCCTTTAGTATACACACAAAGACTCAGAACGCCTGAACTTTTCTCAGTGCAGAGTTAAACTCTGGCTTACTAGTTACTTGAGATGACTGTTTAAGAAAATTACAATTATGGGCTGTTCTATCCCAGACATACTCAATCAGTATAAACAATAACCTCTGAGAAAGACTGTATGAACTGGGAGTCCCTAAGACGAGTGGGTGTGGTGATATTTTGCTTGTGCTCTCACAAAGCTTGCCTGGAGATCAGAGTGTGGAGCTAGCCACTAGTTAACCATAGAGACCAGGAAGTGGTGGCACATACCTTTAATCCTAGCACCTTGGAGGAGGAAGTAGGAAGACCAGGAGTTCCAGGCCACCCTGGGCTACATGAGATTGATCCAGTCTAAAAGAGAAACAGAGGCAGGCGGTGGAGGTTCATGCCTTTAATCCCAGCACTAGGGAGGTGGAGACAGGAAGTGATATGGCTGGGCAGAGAGAGGAATACAAGGCTGGAGGAGACAGGAGCTCACCCCTGTCAGGCTGAGGAGTTGGTGGAGCTGTGGCTTGCTCCTTTGTCTCTCTGATCTTTCAGAATTTACCCCTGTATCTGACTCTGGGATTTTATTATTAAGACCAATTAGAATTCATGCTACAAGTGTACATTCATAGTTATCTCTATCCAGAGAGTGCATTACTGGGTGTGGCCCAATGAGTGGTCAATAAAAGTTTATTGACCTGAACTGAGTACTCAGAAAGACTTTAAAGGAAAAGCCACAGAGCGCCACTGCCCTGAAATAACTGATTCTCCCTTTCATGTATACAGCATTTACCCATGAATCAAAACCTAACGTTCAAAATTTTCAACGTATTTCCTCATAACCTTACTAGGTATAAAACTTCATTTGACATGAATATATAATATGCAATACATAGATACATTAGTTAATATAGGTATGCCTTTACTTTTAATTTTGAAAGAGTTTCCATTAAGGGACCTCACATTTGGGTGGTGCTTTCAATTTATGAAACCATGCTATATAATCTCACTGTTCTCCCAACACTGTAGGAGCTTTACTCTTACTTTGTAGGTGGCTTGCAGACTTCAGATTAAATAACAAGCCGAGGGTAACACAGCCAGAAAAAAATAGACTTAAGCTAGGGTCTTCTACAACTAGGACCATTTCCTTGGCACAAATACTCAGAAAATGTTCTGGCGGGAAATTTAACCCATTTGTTTCCCAGTAATTCAGAATACAGCAGGTAGTAATTACATTTACAGAGATCACCGGCCAAACATATGCCAACTGTATGGAAACCAGGTCTTGCCTTTTATTTTTTGAGACAGGTTTTTCCTGTTTAACAGTCCTGGCTGTCCTGGAACTCATGTTTTAGACCAGGCTGGCCTTGAACTCACAGAGATCCACCTGCCTCTGCCTCCTGAGTGCTGGAATTAAAGGCGTGTGCCACCACCACCTGGCTCAGGTCTTATCTTTTAAGGTACTGCAAAGAAAATGTTATGTATTAGTGGTAATCTTCAGTGGAATAATGTGGTGTGCTTCAACTCTGTCTCATGCTGTGGGTAAATGACCTATGGCTGGCTGTATTGTTATTCAAAAGTGAAGGAGACTGGAATTGCTTCGGCTTCCTCTCAAAGTGTAGTTAAGAGTCTTTAGTAGTATTTACAGCAGACATAGCAGCCACCACAGGCTATAGGTAGACAGTGATGCACAGGTGACCTCAAAGTTCTCACATCAAGAACGTCATCATTAAGCCAGGCTTAATCCCAGCACTCGGGAGGCAGAGCCAGGTGGATCTCTGTGAGTTCGAGGCCAGCTGGTCTACAAAGCGAGATCCAGGACAGGCACCAAAACTACACAGAGAAACCCTGTCTCGAAAAACAAAAACAAAAACAAAAACAAAAAAAAGAATGTCATCACAGGACACACACTTACTTACACACTTTGGGAGGCCCTGAGTGAACAGTGGAGGGAAGCTTTCAGTTTCCAAAGAGCCACATTTGAAGGACACTTATGAGGAGTGACCTGAAGGGGGACACCACCTTGTCCATCTGAGCTCTGTATTGGAGAAGAGAAGGCTTGGGAGAAGCACGAGTATCACCGCATTTCCCATAGTAATGAACTACACACAAGTTTAGTTTCTAATAATTCTGAGGATAGAAAAAGTTCTCTTAAGGTGGTGAGTTCAGGCTAGTGCAGCAAGTGGGAGAATGTCTGGTGAGCATGTGTGAGGTCCTGGGTTCAATTGCCAGTACTGCAATCAACCAATCAAACAAACAAAACAGGAAGCAACCCATCCAACCTCCTTTTTAGGAGAGTAGAATCACGGTAGTGAGTTGTAATTAATTGAACTACTTACAAGGGCAGTTGGCAAATTACCAAGAATTGGGGAAATAAAGAGAAGGTAGTTTATATATGATAGCTGGGAAATGGGATATGATATATTTTTGTTTTGAAATTAGTATCCTAACAAAAACAGAAAACCAGCATTTCTTGTTGGGCCAGCATATGGACAGGTTGAGTCAGCCATAGTTGTAATAGCCCGAGTACTGCCAAATACAAATACACTAAGTGCTGTGTACTTATAGTTAAAAAAAAAGCCAAGCCAAATCAACAAACTGCTGTTTCTATTATCAGAGGAGTATTTTTCAAATAACAAATGTCCAACACTTTGGGAGAGTATCAGTAATTTTCAACCAAGTTCTTCCATTTTCTATGTACATTCTAAGATAATCCAAAGAAGGAAACAGGGAAAATATGATTATAAACTCATTTAAGAATTGAGGCTGGCTAGAGATGGACCTCAGTTGGTTGAGTGCTTGTCTAACCTGAAAGGAAGCCTGGATTTGATTCCCAGGACCACAAAAACCTGGCATGGTAGTGCAAACCTGTAATCCTAGCACTTGGGCGGAAGGTAGGAAGATTAGGAGTTCAAGGCCATCTTCAGCTACATATGAGTACCAGGCCAGCCTGGGCTACATAAGACCCTATCAGGAAGGAAGGAAATAAAGGTGAACCAAAGCCTAGTGGTACATGCCTGTAATCCCAGCACTTGGGAGGCTGAAGGAAGAGGACCATAGGTTTGAAGCTAGCCTAGGCTACACATTGTGACCCTGTATCCATCATCCATCCACCCTGAGGTTAATTGAGGTATAGTAAGCTAAAGAAAACTGCTTGATCTAGTGTCTGTCCTTTGCCCCATTTCCAGTTTCTTTTTATTAGAACGTATTTAAACTCAATTATGTTTCTTTGCGATTTTAATTCCCTTCTCCCTCTGTAGAACAGGGAAATTAAGAGGTCAAAGGTGTGTTTTACAACATGCTGGGGTTTAAGATGCAACAGTCTTTGGTTACTAGGAAGTTCTGGTTTTAGTTTCTTTGAAGGCTGAGAGCTTTATTGGTAGTTTCTTTCTCTTAACTAAGCTATCTTTTATTTAACCAAATAAATTTCAAGACCCCTCTGATACAACAGAACACAGTTTATATCATTTTATGAATTAAGAAAATAAGACACATGAAAACATTTTAGAAACTGTAAAGCAGTGTCCAAATGGTAGTCATAAAACTAACAACTACACAGACTTAAGGCTTTAGGAAAAAGTTACTGAAGAGTTTGCCTGAATGTCAGTTTAGGAAGCACCTGGCAGCCTTTCTCTAAAGGCTTCCAGAATCTACTCCACATGCTAATAAAAGCTGTAAAGTCACTAGACTCCAAATAGAACTCTAAATAACAGTTATTTGGAACCATAACTGATAGGGGATTCCAGGGTTCCTGGCTACCAGAGGATGTCCAGCTTCCAGAGGGCAGTGTGGACCATGACCTGAGAAAATGTTACTCACGGGAGTTCTGCTAACTCATGTTAACACAGGGTAATCGAGGATGCTTTTTGTTCATTTCTTAGTGCTTTTCCTAATTCTTAATTTGTCATGTAAAAGGGGAAGAAGTTACAATTGGATATTAATCTCACCTGTTTTCTTTGTAATTATACATAGCTTAGATTGCAGACTGAATACATATATTGATCAGAAGCCAAAATACCCCCACACATTTACCAATTAAATCAGTCTTTCAACTGTGTTTTTATGATACTTCATCCACGTATTAAAACAAATATATGAATAAATAGCAACGTAATCCAAATGAACATCTTTCATCTACAATTATCTGAAGCAAGAAGTTTAAAGATGGGTAGAGTTACTCCATGAATCTTCGATGCCTGTTCAGTCATGCTTGAATGTCTAGATTCAGTTTATACAGAAGATGAACGGAAGACACTGGAATTGTAAAGGGAAGCTTCTGTCAGAGCCTGGACACAGTCAAATAGCTCCTTGCTGACTTGTGACAGTTATGCAGTCTCTGGGACAGGTCAGACGGTGAGAGTAGAGATCTAGAATGGATTACTCACACAATTACGTTCTCCTCAGATCAAAAACCTGAACAACTGCTGCCAGCCAAGAGGATAATAAAAGGGAAATTCCAAACTTTGAAATGACAATGGGAACTATTGATAAAGAAAATATAAGCTAGGTGGTGGTGCTCACAACTTTAATCCTATCCCAGCACTCAGGAGGCAGAGGCAGGTGGATCTCTGTGAGTTTGAGGCCAGCCTGGTCTACAGAGTGTGTTTCAGGACAGCCAGGGCTACACAAGGAAACTCTGTCATGAAAAACAAACAAGAACAACAATCCACCAAACAAACAAAAACAAAAACCTCCAAACCCCCAAAACCTCTAAAGAATATACTCTTGAATTGCTGGGGTTATCATTTGGAGGCAATACTTAAAAATGCTGGAGAAATAGAATCTCATTTGTTTCTCATTGGAAATTAGTCTTTCAAGAAAAATCTAACCTAACTTAAATCAACCTTTTAATACATAAAACATTGTAAGAATACTCCTATGGGGCTAGAGAGATGCCTCAGCAGTTAGGAGTATTTGCCCAATCATGAGTACCAGAGGTTCCCCCCCCCACACACAAAAATCTCTGTAACTGCAGCTCCGAGAATCCAAAACTACCTTCCTTCATCAGAAAGATGGGGAGATATTATGTAGTGTAATTCTATGCTATTAAACTATACTTTTTTTTTCATTAAAAATTACTGGTGTAGTGCTAGGTGTTGCTTTATGATGAATCCCAGCACTCAGGAGTGCCAAGGGCCATGGGAGTATACAGCAGGTGACAACTAGTATTTAACAGGTCAACCCACCAGATGAATAACTGTTGGGGAGCTCCATTAGGCAAAGTCTGTGGGGTCATTGGCTGTGGAAAGGGGTTGTTCTCTGTCTAACTTTCTCATGTGCCACCACTTACCTTCCTAAAAAGAACAGTTATGGGGTTCTTTCCACAGCCCATTGGTAGTGTGTTTTACATCTTTGGGCACACATATAGCTGTGGATGGTCAGGAAGATGATTTCTGCTTAAGCTGTATAATTCTGATAATACTAGAATATTTTTCATAGCTGACACTGGAAAGCAACAGTATTCTCAGAGACAGCTAATTTTAGACTTCAGAACTGATTCAAAACAGACTAGCTGCCCCTGCAGAGAATACACAAACATTAAGTTCCAGGTGTTTATTGCTGAATCAAGGTCAGACTTGAAGCAACTTTGGTAGACAGAACCCCCTGCAGTAATCCTCTTTCTGCATGGACCCCAACCACTCAAGGTTCAGCCAACTGTTACTGTTAAGTCCTGAATTTCAGAGAGAATTTCATTCTCTCCCTGGGAATGCTAACCACTCAGGCTACATGGATGGCCAATTGTTACTCACAGGCCAGTCAATGTGACCTTCCTAGCCTGAAAGAAACCTGTGATTCCTTACATGTATCAGTTTGGCTCTGTCTCTGACTGTTTACTCAAGAAATGCTTTGTGACCCTGAAAAATGTAACTCATGCGTGTGCAGAGTTTGACTGTGGGAGGAGCCAGTGAGCGATGTGAAGGAACGGTGGAAAGAGCTGTGCAGTGAGTGAGTGAGTGTATGTGTGTGTGCGCGCGTGTGCGCGCTCACATACTAAAAGAGAGATGCAGCTGAGTGGGTAGGAAGACATAGAAAATGTAGTTGTATAGAGAAGAAATATGTATGTAGGAGATGTGAGGGATGTATGTGACGATATGGTGAAAGAGCTATGTAAATGATAGGTATAGCTGTAGCTGTGTGGAGATTTGTAACTGTGTGGAGACATGGAAAATGAAGCTGTATAGAAAATCGATGTGCTGGGCAGTAGTGGCGCACGCCTTTAATCTCAAGCACTCGGGAGGCTGAGCCAGGTGGATCTCTGTGAGTTTGAGGCCAGCCTGATCTACAGAGTGAGATCCAGGACAGGCACCAAAACTACTCAGAGAAACCCTGTCTCAAAACAACAACAACAACACCAAGAAGGGGAAAAAAAATCGATGTAACTGCAAAAGAGATATGTGGCTGTGTGGAGAATGTAACAATGTGGAGTGTAACTATGTGAAGACAGAGATATTCAGAGAGAAGATGCTTGATTATATATATATATATTCATTTTACATACCAACCACAGATCCACCCCTCATCCCTCCTCCTCCTGCCACCCTCTACCCCCTTCTCCCCCTTCCCCCTTTCTCCAACAGGGTAAGTTCTCCCATGGGGCGGCATGTTTTAAGACGAAGTAAAAGAGAAGGTTACCGTCAGAAAATATTTCCTTATTTACCTGTCAGATAGATAGAAACTTATTTCTAAATACCCTCAGATAAAAAGTCTAAAGCCCCACTACTCTGAGGTCCTCTGTTCATTACCCTGGAGCAGTTATGGGAGCTGGCTTCCTGGGCTGTGTTACAGGAGGCTAAAGGAGAGGATCTGTACTCTAAGGCCAGCCTTGGTAACATAGTGAGACTCTGTCTGAGCTATTTTTCTTTTGCTGTGAAGAGACACGTGACCAAGGCAACTATGTTTCTAAGAACAAGGCCAAATGTTTCTAAAAGGAAACATTTAACTGGGGGCTTGTTTACAGTTTCAGAGGGTGAGTCCATGACCTTGGCGGTTGGGAGTATGGCAGCAGGGCAGGCACTGGAGCAGCAGCTCAGAACTTACATCTTACCTGCAGGTTTGGAGGCAGAGACTGAGCCTGGAGTGGGCTTTTGAAGCCTTAAAGCTCACTTTCCATGACACACCTCCTCCAACAAGGCCATACCTCTTGATCCCTTCCAAAACAGTTCTACCAACTGAAATATGAGTCTATGGGGGCCATTTTCACTCAAACCACCACAGACCCTTTTTACACACATACTCAGGTTAATTGAGGCATAGTGAGCTTTTAAATTGCTGGGCTTCATCATGATGACATTTTCATACATGTATACAATTTATTTAGATCACATTTATATCCCTCTTTTTTCTGTTCCTTCCCACTAGTTCCCTTCCTCTTAAATAGGTTCCCCTTCTATTGTTTTTATACACACACACACACACAGAGACACACATCTATCTATCTATCTATCTATCTATCTATCTATCTATCTATCTATCTATCTATCTATCTATCTATCTAGAAGGGCATAATCCCAGAGCTGGTCTACAAATTGAGTTCTAGGGCAGCCAGGGTCACACAGTGAGACCCTGTTTCAAAACAAACAGAAATTTAGATTCTACAGGAAAGAAAAGGTGATATTTGCCTGAGTTAGGCTTGTTTTGCTTAACAGGATCTTTAATCCTCCCCATTTTCCTGCAAATGACCTAATTTCATCTGTTTAAGGTGGATGGAATACCCCGCTGTGCACATATACCACATTTTCCTTGTCCACAGACACCTAGGCTGGTCTGTATCTTGGCTACTGTGAATAGTGCAACAGTAAGGATGGGTGTGATGTATGTCTCTGGTGCGCTGCTTCTGATTCCTTTTGGTATATATCCAGGAGTGGTACAGCAGGACCATATGGTGGTTTTATTTTTAGTTGCCTTTTTAAAAAAGGAATCCCCAAATTGATTTTCATAGTGGCTGAACTTACATTCCTACCAGTAGTGTATAAAGGATTCTTTTCTCTACATCCTCACCAGCATTTGTTATTTTTCTTGATGACAGCCATTCTGACGGGTGAAATGGATTCTCAGTGCAGTTTTGATTTTCATCTCCTTTATAGCTAAGGATGTTGAGCAGTTTTTTGTATTTATTGGTCATTTGTCTTTCTTCTTTTTTAAAACTTGTATTTCTTTTGAGAATTGTCTTTTCAATGAATTTGCCCACCGACTGACTGGATTATTTGTTCTATTAATGCTAAAATCATGTTTTTATTTTCTATATGCAGACATATACAGTTATGCTGTGGGATGTTCTGTATGTCCTGTGGGAGCCCTTCTTGGGTTCTTTGTGGCGTTACCCAGCAGGTCCCTATAGAGGATGATTAGGACCATGGGCCTGAGTGCAGGTGTTTGAGATGGTCTGCACTTGGCTGTGCTGGGGGATGGTCTGTATGTCAAGTTGCTCTGATTGGTTAATAAATAAAACCTGATCGGCCGTGGCTAGGCAGGAAAGATAGGCGGGACTAACAGAGAGGAGAAATAAAAGGTCAGAAAGGCAGAAGGAGACGCTGCAGCCGCCGCCATGACCAGAGAGGCTGCAGCCGCCGCCATGACCAGCAGCATGTGAAGACGCCAGTAAGCCACCAGCCACATGGCAAGGTATAGATGTATGGAAATGGATCAATTCAAGATAAAAGCACAGTTAGCAAGATAAGGACAGTTAGCAGGAAGCCTGCCACGGCCATGCAGTTTGCAAGCAATATAAGTGTCTGTGTTTATTTGGTTGGGTCTGAGCGGCTGTGGGACTGACGGGTGACAGAGATTTGTCCTGACTGTGGGCAAGGCGAAAAAATCAAGCAACACAGTTATTTACATGTTAGCTGACAAGTGGATATTTTAAGTTGTTCCCTGTTATATTACCTGAAAGCCAGTTTTGTTTTGTTATTTTCATCACTTTTCACAAATAATATCATCACCTGACACCAGTATTTGTTTTTGTCCAACTATTGGAAAAACACAAGTACTGGGCCAAAGATGGAAATCACTAGGCACGTGACAAGTGTTTTTGGCTCCAACCAGACCCTCACTGTGTGAACAACAGTCAAGAAAAGAAGGATTAAGTATGAAGTCTTGGAAAGACACTGCTGAAGGTCTTGGCAAAAGGCACGAAACAATATACATTTGATGTTCTAAAATCTTTCAGCCCCACACCACACACTGAACATGCTGAAATCTACGTTCAACTGTCAATTCCCTGACTTCACCTTTAGAAACTCAGTGTGTACGAGGCACTGTGAATGATCTAGAGATCAAACAGTTCTTAGTGACTATGTCCAACACAGACTGAGGAACAGAAAGGTCCTGAGTTTATCTACTGCAAAGTGGATTTTGCTGATGAAATAACTGCAAACCACACAGATGACTTTGCTTGCCTGAGACTCCTCAGGTAAACTGATTGTAGAGACTGGAACAGGGAACTTTTAACCCAGTACTCTTTCCATCATGGCTATTGTGGGGTCAAGATTAGAGTTTCTTGAGAGGCATGACTCCTGGTGGCTTTGGAACTGCTAGGGCCTTAAGCTCCCTGGACTGTGGTGTGGGTAGCCCTCCTCCACCAAATTACCACCACCATGTCAATACCAGCCAGTGTTGCCCAGGTTTTCTATAGGACAGTGACTTGGCTCAGTAGGTAAAGGCTTTTCAAGCCTGATAACCTGAATTTGATCCCTGGGACCCACAAGGTGGAAGAAGAAACAGACTCTGGAAAGTTGTTTTCTGCCCCCAACACTTGCACTATGGCATGCACACCCTGTCCCCGCAAATAAATAACTGTAATAATTTAAAAATAAATCTTCTCTGCCTTTAGTCATCCAAGTGTAAAGTTAAGTATCACTGCTTTCCAAAGGTGACTTTTCTAGGAAGCTTATTATCCTTTACACAGCTTCCTATCTCACATCACTTTTGAAATAATACATTTACTTCTTATTATGTGTCTTTTCCAATAGATTATAAATTCCATGAAGTGTCACTTCTGCTTCATTCACAGCTGCTCAGCACCTAGCACAGTACTGGCATACAAAAGAAGCTCAAACAGTATTCTTTTAATACACAAATGGACTTCCCTTTCTAATCACAGCTACAGCAAGTCTTATCAAAGTCCTAATTATCCCTCTTAAACTTTCCTAAACTTAGTATGCAAACCCAGGGCTTAAAGTCCCAGGGAAGAAGACTGGAGCCGGGATTTTAGCTTAGCAAGCATTCTGATTAGAGAGATTCAGCCATGGAATGGGCATCTTTACAAGAAAAGAGCAGATGGCCCAGGTACAGAGGCGTTGTCTGAATTAGGTAGGTCAACCCTGTCAACCTCTTAGGTGTCTTTTAACAATGAGGGTCTGAGGTTCATTCTTTTCAGCTCTTGTTTTGAATTAGGTTAAAATAAGGAACATAAACAAACTGGTTATGAACTAGCCTAAGAGAGGGCCGGGTTTCATGGTGCATCTCTGCGGTCAAGGCCGGTTTGCTCTGCTTAGTAAGTTCCAGGACAGCCAGGGCTACACAGACAGACTGTTACTCCCTAACCCCTGAAAAGAGAATAAACCCAAGCGGGGCTGGAGAGATGGCTCAGCAGTTAGGAGCACTGGCTGCTTTTCCAGAGGACCAGGGTTCTAGTCTCAGCACCCACACAGCAGCTCATAATCTCCAAATTCCAGGGGATCTGATGTCCCGCTTTGGCCTCTGTCAGCACCAGGCATGCAACTGGTGCACATACATACACGTAGACAAAACAACCATATATCTATAATTAAATTAAAAACATAATTAACCTGAGAGAGCTATCTAATGAAACTTTAAAAATTAATTACTTTAGGAATGCATTTCCTCTTCTAGTTATTTGACACACATAAATTCTACTGAGTACACGACCAATAATAGGTCCATGTAAGTGAAACCCAGTGCAGGCGAAAGCACTGACTGACACAATCATCTGTAGAAGTGTGGGACACCCTGACCCCCTCTCAGCTCAGATCAAACCCAGAGCCCAAAGCATGCGAGCAAATGCTCTAACCCTGAGCCACATTTCCAGCCCAAGCATACTTTTAAACATACACACAAATGAAAGTATGCTCAATTACTGTAACAGCTCTGAAGAAAATGATGCTCCAGTTTACACAAATAAGTGGCTTTGTCCAAAGTAGGAACTGTCAGATCCTGAGCTCCCAAACCGGCACTTGTTTCATTTTACTAGGTCACACCAGGTTCCAGAATTTCCCATTGCGTAAGTTTGCCCACATTTGCATCCCCATCTTTTGGAAATTTCTTCCAAATTTCACTGGGAAAGGAATGAGAGGAATTTAAAAATAACTTCTTTCATAGGTATCAATGAAAAAAAAAACCACTTTTATTGACTATTACAGTATTTATAAATATATAATATAAATGAGCTAGAAGAGTGGACTGAAGAGTTTAAATGATTAATGATCTCTCCTTAACTTTTATCACTAAAGATCAACAGTTATGAAATGTGATTTTTTTCCACTACCTAACGAAGAATGTTACAATTCAGAACAGCAACTCCAGTAATCCATTCAGACCCCGAAAAGGAATATTTTCTTGAATAAAGTTGAGTAAAGCACTGGGAACAAGATTGGTATTTACTGCAGCTTAAATGGCAAGGGAGGAGAGAGGCAGCATCATCTTACTTTTGGCCACTGGTTGCTTTAAGGAAATACAAAGGGAAGTGAGCTTCTGATGAAAGACAGCAAGGTGAGACATTCCCACCGTCTTGGAGTCCGAGAGGAACTTGGAGGCCCTACACTTCAATGTCTTCCTCTTTTCTTTTTTGATATGCTACCCAGGCTCAAGATATTCCCCTGGGCCAGCTTCTCCTGCAGCTGGACAAGAGGCCCAGTTACTCTGTTTTATTCCCCCTTAATTGAGGTAACAGACTTGAAAGTCCAGTTGCTCTGAGTATTTCTTCTTGGGGGAGTTTATTTGTCCATGAAAAGCCTTTGACTTTTTAAGAAAATCAAGACCATTTCTATTTTTCGTATATTAAACCTCACAGCACAAGAACTGTGCACTGAAATCCACATGTCTAAAATGCAAGCACCAGTCTTCTACATGTATATTCATGTGCAGAGTCTTCTCCATATAGTTCTTTCCTTAAACAGTCTTTCAGCTACAAAAGACACGAATGAGTAAATCTTGGAAAAGGGATAACATCTTTGATATTGTCAACTCCTAGGATGCACTGTAAGTAGCGTTCGAATCCCATCCCAAAGCCTCCATGTGGCACAGATCCAAACTGACGAAGGTCCAGGTACCTGTTTTTAAAACCAGAGAATCATTACTTATAAACACTATATGAGGTCAAATGTTATGAGAGGAACTTGGTATCTTACAAGTATTTTACAGTCATTTGTTGTTTATGTCACTGTGGATGAGCACACCCATCTTCTCTTTCCACAGGGACCATGAAAACAGAGAAGTTAGAGAGCCCTAGCTATCCAAGGATACCCAAGCAAGCAGCAGTGGAGTCTGCTGTGGGCTTTGGTCATGTGACCTTTTCTCTTTTCAAGTTACTTATGTATCATTCATGTACAGAAAACTTGCCTCAAAACACTTTTTATACTAGGTTTTTTTTTTCTTTTCACTTCCTAACTCAATGATATATTTTCACTATCTTTCTTATTTATTATTTTTTTTTAATTTTATGGGAATTGGTGTTTCACTTGCATATATGTCTGTGAGAGGGTGTCAGATCCCCTGGAACTAGAGTTATAGGCCACTGTGAGCTGCCATGTGGGTGCTGGGAATTAAACCCAGGTTCTCTGGAATAACAGCCAGTGCTCCTAACCACTAAGCCATCTCTCTAGCCCTTACTTTCTTATATTATACTAGTGTTTGTTTTTTTTTCCTCCACCTCCTTGACAAGGTTTCTCTGTGTAGCCTTGCTCTGTAGACCAGGCTGGCCTTGAACTCACAGAGCTCTGCCTGCCTCTGCCTCCCAAGTACTAGAAAACATAACTCTCTTCTATTTTTTTGATATGTTAATGGCAGCATTTTCTTCCTCACTCAAATCATATTATTCACATATTATTCAATACACAGAGAGGAGTGAAGAATTTGTTGTTGATGTTGTTTGTGTGTATATCTATGTACATGTGCCTGTGTGGGTACATGTGGAGGCCACTGACCATGATTGTTCCACTCCTACTTAAAACTTCATGGTTAAAAAAGGTATAGCTATGATTGAAACTCAGATTCCAACAAACTAGCATAGAATAAAGTTATTTTAGGAGGAAAGGAAAAAGATGGCCCTGCCAATATTCTTATTACACCATTTGACTGGGAATTTCTTTTAACTTATTTTTTTTATTACATCTATTTGTGTGTGTGTGTGTGTGTGTGTGTGTGTGTGTGTGTGTGTGTGTGCACGCCATGACACTTGTGCAGAGGTCAGAGGACAACTTTTAGAAGTTCTATCTCTCCTTCTATCATAGCGATCACACTCAAGTTGTCAGACTTGGTGGCAGGTACTTTTACCCACTGAGCTACCTTACTGTTCCAGCCTGAAAATTCTCGAGTCATAGATATAAATTAGAGCAAATTCATAATTTCTCAAATGATTTGTGCAATCATCTCCACAGTAAGCCTTCAAAGCACCACAGCTAGTGTCTGGTTGGCTCTTCAAGCATAAAGACTGCTTAGCAACTGTTTCCTCTGTCCTAGTGCTAACACATTGACACTTTACAGTAAAGATTCTAACAAAAGATAAATAGCAACTGGATGAGCTGTGTCCAAGTGAGATCAACATGGTGATTAGTAAGAAATGATTAGTAAAAATTTAATGAATAAATGGAGTAAACACAGTCTTGGTAAGTGTAGTTTTGATGGTGGAATTCACTTTCAGTTTACAAGGCATGGAAACAAGGTACAGTTTTGACTCACTGACAATCTGAGATGAAGGCACCTCAAATCAGTTGTCATGAATACCTGCAGGACCAAAGTTGGCTTCAGAGGTTCAGTAATGGGTTTCATACATATAAATTTCTTTTTTTTTTTTTTTGGTTTTTCGAGACAGGGTTTCTCTGCGTAGCTTTGCTCCTTTCCTGGAACTCACTTGGTAGCCCAGGCTGGCCTCGAACTCACAGAGATCTGCCTGCCTCTGCCTCCTGAGTGCTGGGATTAAAGGCGTGCGCCACCATCGCCCGGCCCATACATATAAATTTCTTATGTACCAATGTCAAAACACTGGTATGAATGTTGTAAGCTGAATTAGCAGGGAGATTCAGCTTACTAGGTTTTGCCTGACTTTGCTTTGATATAGGAAAAAAAAAAATCTACTTTTTTTTAACAACAACAAAAAAGAGGGTATATTTGTGTGTGTGTGTGTGTGTGTGTGTATAGGTGGGTGGGTGGGGGGAGATAGGGTGTTACTATGTAATCCCAGTTGGCCTGGAACTCACTCTGTAGACCAGGCTGGCCTCAAACTCACAGAAATCCTCCTGCCTCTGCCTCCCAAGTGCTGGGATCACAGTTTACTACCATGTTATGCTTCAAATCTGTATTCTAGGGCAAGCAAGTGTAGTAAAGATGCCAGAAAGTATCTGGAACTGGCTACTGATTTGATTTGCATGTGGCAGCAGAAATAGGAAGTGAGTTCACTCTCAGACACCTGGATTCTCAAAGTGCAGAGGAACTTTCATAGAGATCCTGGGTGCAAAACTTTCTAAGCTTCTTTCATCTTTAACATGCTATGCCTACTCCTGAAGAGGATTCAAGTCATAAATATTTCTATTTGAAGATCCTATGTGCATTAAAGGTTTAGTTAGAAAACTAGTCTAGGAGCTGGAGAGATGACTCGGCTGGTACAGTTGCATGTAGTTAAGCCTGTTGTCCTGAGTTCTACCCTGGGACCTATGGTAGAGAGAGAGAGAGAACCAACTCCAAGGGCTGTCCTCTGACTTCCACATGCTTGCTGTGGCATGTGAGTCCTCTTTTTTCCTCCCAAAAAGAGAAGTTAAAATATTAAAAAAAGAAAATATAGACATGTTTTAATAAATATCATACTTACTTAAGCAATATATAAAATTTACTGTTATTTAAGCAAATGACTATTATGAATACTAGCTGATAGAATCAGAGGGGAATATAGTATAATTGGCTCAATAGATTTACCTACTAAATAGCAATACTTAGAAGAAAAGAAGAAAAAAGGTGTAGAAACTATCATTTACTGAACTGCTTCTACTCAATGCAAATACAATGTACTTTTTCATTTCATACAATAACTGTGAAATAGATATTATCATTTCATTTTATAATCATGAAAACCAAGAAACTAAGAGAGATCAAGATACTTAAGGATACTGCTGGGAACTACCAGGCAGTCAAAACCATCAGCTGAACTCTGAAACTCGGAAGCTATCTCCTTTGTTACCAAAGTAACAAAGGTAGAGTATAATCTGTCATGTTCTCCTAAGAACAAAATGGTTAATTACATTGCTGATATTATGAAATCAAGATCCTAAAGCAGCACTACCGTAGACATGTAAGTAATCTGTCTACATTGGCAAGTACTTGACCAGTCTGTGGAAAGAAAACCAGAACAATTTTGTGGAAGTGAATGTGAGTTCGGACAGGTGGTTGTTCTTAGGCAGCTGAGGGCTCCAGAGCTCTTGGATACCTAAGACATCACTTACCAAAGCTCCCACTGTCAAACAGGGAGACCGAAGCATGATGGGCTGAGAGCAATGCCTTATTTCAATAAGTAAACAAGAGCACAAAGACAGGTTTTGGTGTATGGAGGAGTTCTCAGCCCCATCCTAACTATGATCTTGGTTAAGTCAGTTCACATGTCTGGCCTCTTGTTTAGGGGGAGACAAAGGGATACCAGCAGCATCTACCTCTCTAAAGGTTGGGATGATTACAGGAAACAACAAACGCAAGAATGTGAACATTATTTTCTAATATAGAAGAAGTAGTAACTAAATGGTAAACATCAGTTTTACTGTTTTTCACAGACTGGGAGTAAACAATTTTCTGAGCCTCAAGTTCAGTTCTTAGCATTTGCTCACAGGGTCATGGGAATACAAGTAACAATCCTTTCCACATAACACCCAGAATGCACCCAGGACAGGGGCCACGTCCTTACCACTGGTAGGCTTTCGTAAGTCCAGATCTATAAAAAGGAAATAAGGAAAAAATCGAGACATCAATAAAACATTTATTAATCAACCACCAAACATTTACTCTAGGTTGTGAACACAGGGGCCTTTGTAAGGAAGCACACACATTGAAGCCTGTGTCCTCCCATCATGCAATGGAACTGAGGAGGTGACGTTTTCTTAAGAGAGGAGACTATCATCACCATTAACAGTAAGCAATGGGGTAAATAAAGTAAGAGGTGTCTAGAATGAAAAGAGGACTTGGAGGGATTGCTCTGACGTGAGCTTACTATCTGTGAAGGAAGGGCAGAGACACTGCTTAGTCAAGGTGCCTGGGAGGCACACACAGACAATGCACGCTTGGACACAACCTTCACTGCACAACATCTAAAATTACAGTGCAATTCTTTCATACTACTGCTGCAATTTGGTTCTTGTAGAGAGAAACGTGAGTAACATTTTAAGTGCTCAGTGGTTATTACCATTAACCTCAGCCCTTTAAAAAGGTATTTAGAACTGTATCTGGAATGACAAGAACCATCGAAGTTCTAATTTTCTAAAGTACAGAAAACATGCGCTACAGCCACAGACAGATCCACGAGTCAGTAAAAGGAACACGCACCTACTTCACTGGCAGAGACAAATTTGGATCGTGTCCGGTATTAGCTAAGGTCTCCTAGGGGAAGGAAACAACTCAAGAAAATGGATCGCCTCATCTTTCAACAGTTTCTTGCCATGTGTGATTTTTATTGTGCTTGAAAATTTTTTAGAGAAATGTCAAATTCTTTCATCTAAAGATTCTAACCTTCACCCCAATTTGACAACTTTCCCAGGACTGTCTAACAGTGAGTGGCGGCCGGGAGGAGGGAGGCCAGTCAGTAAGGGACTCGTCCACACCGTTCACTTCCTATCTTTTGGAGCCTAAGCCACTGGAGCCGCTAAGGAGAGTGGGGTTGCAACGCCAAGTCACTCGAGAGATTTACAGGCTGGGATCTGAGAAAAGTATCAACTTTCAAAGCATGTCTCCATTAGGAAAAGGTGGCCTTAAAAATAGCTAATTTAATAGAACATTTTAAAAATGTTTTTTCCAAGTATGACAAAACCTAGTATTATTGGAGAGAAGGATTAATACAGAGGAGAAAAAAATTAATGTTTGATATAGCAAAAACGGAAACCATAGAACACAGAGGCTTATAACCATGGTCAGTTTAGGAAGTCATTGTAGTTCTCTAGGGGATCATGCATACAGGCGTGATAGATAGTTCAATTAGAAATAGGATTCCTTACTTTCTATCTCCAAAATACTTTTTAAGTAATCTATGGATTCATTTTACAGATCTCAAAAAGTAAATTAAAACAAAGTTATTCAAATAGCTAAATGAGGGCTTGTGAATATCTATTATTCTCTATGAATTTAAGGAAAGGAAATCTTACAAATGCTAGCTTAGCATCTTTCTATCTTCGTTCTTTTCGTAGTTTAGCCTGTCTTTATGATCCAGTGGGATCATGACATTCATAAAACAGAGCACATAAAAAAGTACACAAGTAAGAGAAAAATGAAGAAGCTTTGAAGGGCTTGGAAATTTCTCTTGCTTTTTTTAAATTTTAAGACAGGGTCTTAAATTTTATGTAAGTGTGTCTTACTTGGAACACATATGGAGACCAGGATGTTCTAGAAACTTAAGAACGATGCTCCTGCTTCAGTCTCTGAGTGCCGGGCCTGTAAGCATGTGCCATCATGTTTTTTTGTTTGTCTTTTTTTTTTTTTTCTGTTTTTGAGAGGGTCTCCAGGCCAGCCTACAACTCATGAAATTCCATCTCTTGCCTTAGCCTCTCTCTGAGAGTATAAACATGCACTCCTATACCTTCCAATAGATCCAGTCTTCAAGAAAGATGCTTATAGATGTTAGAAACACTCCTCAGGATCCCACAGAGCCCGAGAGTGCCAGGCCTGTCAGGTGTGAGGAGCCCAAGTGCTGTGTTTTTGTTACTGTGCAGGGAGTGTCTTTGAGGATCCCCGCCCTCTGAGTGTTTCTTTTAGGTCTGACCAATACCTGGCCAGTCGCTGCTCTAGGATGTGGTACCGTTCCTCCCTGAGGCTTCCTCCAAAGAGCTCCCCGACTCCAGGAACCAGAAGATCAACAGCAGCAACCTAAAGAAGAAACCAATCAACCAACCATGAATAGCACCGTACTTCCCTGCGATTCCAACAACACTTGGATTTTCAAGCAAATGGAACATTTTCTTGAAACAATTTTAAAAGTGGCTGTTTGACTGCTTATTAGAATCTTATTTGGGGATATGTCTTCAACCAGCTACAGCAGTAGTTCTCAACCTGTGGGTTGTGACCCCTGTACCATATCAGATACTTACATTGACTCATAACAGTACTAAAATTACAGTTATGAAATAGCAACAAAATAATTTTATGATTGGGGAGTCACCACAACATGAGGAACTATATTAGGAACTGTATTAGGAAGGTTGAGAACCACTGAGCTAGAGCATATCACCAGAAGCTCCAAGTTTTGAAAATTCCCTTTGGAATATATCTGTATCTTTTAACTATGTGGCTAAAAAGCATACATATGTGTTCCTGTTTATGAGCTTCATCGTGACTACTCTGAACAACAAATGAATGGACAGGAACCCTCAGTGCTTCTCCATGATTGTCTTTTTCTTAGAAATGTATCAAATCACAGGCAAAAGTCAGCTCATGACCTTGACTTTTTGAACATTCTCTGTTTAACACTTGTTTCTACTTTAAAGAAAAAAAAAAAAAAAGGTTCAAAGAGAACAGAATATAGGACCAGCATACATAGCACTGGTGTAGATCTGGTGGTTCTGGGAATAATCAGGTAACAGAAACTGGAACTAAACATCTCATTCAAGACTTGCCAGTTGCAGAGAAAGAAGTCGTAATCTAAAGATGACCAAGTTGGAGCCCTTTGAGCACGAATCTCCACTGTGTGTCTATGCAGCCCTGAACATTCAGGAGTGGAAGGATTTCAATTCTACCTTGTCATTCTCCTGCTAAGGGAATACCAGAGGCTACACGTACATTCTTTTGCACATTTCTCTAACTCTCCGAGCTTAAACAAAAATCGTTCCTCTCTGTACATCTTCCAGGTCTGGAATGCGCCCAGGCCCATTTTCCTCTACTGGGTATGAGTTTTGATTCTGCTTAAGTTCCACAGCTGCAGCAGCAAGCTGTCTAGAAATAGTTCATGTTGGTATTCAAGCCGAGCGAACCCTGGTTTCTATTTATGATGTTCCCTTCTGACTCTGACTCTTTGATTCCAATCAATGTACTCAAAATAAAACTTAGATTTTTCAATTAAAAAATAGGCTAAATGGGAAGAAAGCCTTTGATATATGACTTTTCTATGCTAAGATGTCCTTTCTTCTGCTACCTTTGTTACCCCTGACCTTCTGCCCCAGAAAGAAGACAGATTGGGGAAACAGCCTCTGAGGCCACAGTTGAGGGATGCAGCTGGGCCAATGGGCAGCAACGACCGAAATCACTTGTAAGTACTGAGTCAATCTCATTATGTGTGCTTGATAAACAGGCAAAGTTTTATAGCTTACGAAGACACTAATGGTTCCAAAGAATGGAATTCTCACCTTGTCTCAAAATATGTTTCCATTCCCTCAGGGCCAAGGTAATTACTGCCCTCCTCTTTTCTGCAGGGAATTCTAAATTCCAAGCTAGCCAGCAGAAATCAGCTGGGAGCTGCATAAACATACAAGTTATCTGAGTTCTTCCTTAGAGAAAGGAAAACATTCCTGTAAATACCAACTTTAGAATTACAAGTCCGACTTGTGGGAATCACCTGTGACTCATCCTTAGTCCTCTACTTTCCAGTCCAGTTCACAGACCATAGACCACCAACAGTTCTTTAGAATAGTACGTGTGTGTGTGTGTGTGTGTGTGTGTGTGCGCGCGCGCGCGCGCGCGCGCGTATGTGCGAGTGTGTGCGCACGCGTATGTGCGAGTGTGTAGGTCAGAGAATAACTAGCAGGAATCTGTTCTTCTTTCCACTCAGGCTGTCCAGCTTGGTGGAAGTAGCTTTAACCATTGAGCCATCTTGGTGGTAACTCTAATGTTTTTGCAGAGTTTAGTTTGCAGAGATAACTAAATAATTTTATAAATGTTGGTTCTGACTTTCGCAAACCATTTGCAGCGATGAAAGAACAGCATTCCCCTCTGAAGTGAACTTATTAAAATATAACATATGTATAAAAGTATACAAATAAACAGCTATCCATTGTATATACAATGTATAGCTCTATTAACTTTCATAAAATGAGCACACTATGTCACCAACCCAGATCAAGAAAGAGAACAAGATTAACACCCCCAAAAGTCCTTCTTGTGCCCTCTTTGGTTGTCACCCCTACAAAGAATTACATTTTTCTTGACTATGATCGGACAGGCTGAAGTTGCTATTTTTGAACTCCCTATAAACAGCACCACACAGCACAGAGTTCTGGGGGGTGGCCCCTTTCACTGATAGCTGTCTCTGTGGGACTCAACATGCTGACACTGCCTTCTTCACTCTATATGTTGGTCTGCTGCCCAAGTTATCATGATGGAGTTCATTAGTCTCAGCCAAAAAGATTCATTAACTACCTCTGGACTGAATTTTTATTCTCATTGTTATACCCCATCATAGAATGTCCAGTTGTGATTTGTGTCTCCCAAGGGCCTGGATGAAGGGTTAATCCACAGATGCTTCTGGAAGGAGATAAGACACCCAGTAGAGGGTCAATGGTCACAGAAACATAAGGCACTTCTCTGGTGACTGCTGTGATAGTTCTAAGAACGCCGAGAGGAGTGTGGGACAGTAGCAGGCCAGGTCCTGAGTTCTCGGGAACAAGGACTAGGGACTGGGCTAACAGGCACTTGTGCTAAATTCTGGCAAAGAATATGACTGCATTCTGCCTGTGTCCTAAGAACCTGAGTAGCTTAATTTCAAAATAACAGACTAATTTCTTTGGCGGAGGATGTTTCAAGACAGCATAGCATTCACGCTGTGGTACGGCTACTGCTCACTGGTCTTACTCAGATCTACAGTGAGGAAAAGCACAACGTGGACTGTGAACATGTGAAAAATGTGAAGTTTGGTGAGGAACGAGCAAGTCTAAAGCTGCGGACAGAGCCTCCGCAGTCTCTGGAACTGTTAGAGAAGCCTGTCTCTCTGCTGCCTTGCTCGGGGAGCAGTGTGTCCAGCCGCCTCTCCACTGCCACTACACCTGCCTCCCCACGACGCAATGTGCCCTCTCACACTATAACCCAAATGAACCCTTTCTTCTTTAAGTTGCTTTTCGTCAGGCATTGTCACAGCAGTGAGAAAGTAGGTCATGTATCTTCTAAGCCTGTAAAATGGGTTGTTATGTAAATGAGATGATATAAGTAATTTCTTTACTCTGAACTACTTCTTTCTGTTGTTTTCCATAACAGCGCGGCTTTCTTTACAATCCTTTTTTACCTGAAGGCTTAGGAGGCATCTGTATTCTCTTTTATATCTATTGCTTCAACTAAACTAATTTTTTCTAAGGAAATGGAGAGAAATGAAACAGCAATAAAAGTTTAGAAATCTACCACATGTATGTTAAACTCATCTCTCTCTCTCTATTCCCCATCCCTACAATTTGAAGTACACATTTCATTATAAAGAACCTGAGAACAACCTGAGATAGGCTGCAGTGCATACTTTTATTTGATACAAATTGCTAGAACAATCATTATTCCTCACTAAGTAAAATTAGCAATCCCTTCACTATTTCTGTTGGTTCAAGGATCAAGGTCCTTTTGATGTAGGTCAGTTCACTAGGCCAGGGAAATTCACTAGATATTCTTTTGGTTGCCTGTCCAAGTCACTTCATTGTTTATACTTTATTGGATGTCCACTGATGCTTAACTTTTTCTGATGTAATACTTATACTAATATAAGTAATACTGACACATTTTTGAGAATCCTAACACTACCTGGTGGTCCTGATCTATCTCATTCAAAGTAGTTACTTTTTCCTAGTCAAATTTATAAGTTATAAATGAATATTCTGAGAAGCCAATCATATAGCTGAGTATTTTCTACTTGCATTTTGTAGACCTGGACCCAAGAGCACATGGTATTTCCATGTTTCCTTAGATTCATTATAATAGCTCTCAAATGACAAAAGTATGCTTTGTAAGTTGTATGTTATCCTTACATTTGCCAGGAAAGAAAAACAGGCGACATGAAATCGGAGACTCCTGGAGATGCACCACAGAGGTCACCTAACCTGACTCTCTGGCCTGCAAAGCCTCAAATAAGGTCATACAGATATGCTGTAAGAATGTTAGATTTCAAACCTACAGCTCTCAATCTAATGTACTTTTCACTATGGCAGGCTATATATCTTCATTTTCTTGGAGTGGGTGGCAGAAAAGAAAAGAAAATCATTACTATAGAAACATCATTTTTTAATTTATTGCTTCAGGCCAAAAGTTTTAAATACAGATTAAATATTTTTCTACCCTTATCTTTCATTTGCTTAGAGAAAATACCAGTGAAACACTCCTATTTTACTGGGGTTTTAGGAGGTGGGGTGGGGTAAGGGTGGGGATAGTGGGATAAATTTTCACTCTGTGGACTAGGCTGGTTTGTAACTCATTATGTGGTCCAGGCTAGCTTCCAACTCAGGGCAATCCTCCTGCCTTAGCCTTCCAACTACATGAGCGAGCCACCTCACATGTCTTTACATCTGTTTTACTTTTTAAAGTTTCACCGAATCTGTTCTAGTTTGCTTTCTGTTGTTGTGATAAATACCATGTTGAAAAACAACCTGGAGAGGAAAGGGTTTATTTTTTGTTTCCAGGTCATAGTCCATAATTGAGGGAAGTCAGGACAGGAACTCAAGCAGGAGCAGAGGCAGGGACCATGGCGGAAACTGCTTACTGGCTTGCTCTTTAGCCTCTGTTCAGCTGGCTTTCTTTTTCTTTGTTCTTCTTCTTCTTTTCCTTTCCCTTTGAGACAGGGCTTCACTATGTAGCCTCGTCTAGCTTAGAAGTTGCTAAGCAGACCAGGCTGGCCTTGAACTCACAGAGATTTGCTTCCCTCTGCCTCCTGTTTTAGCTTTCTTTTTAAAATTCTTACGAGTATGAGTGTTTTGCCTACATGTGTGTCTGTGTACCATGTGTGTACCTGGTACCTGTGGAGGCCAGAAAAGCGCACGAGATCCTCTAGGACTGGAGTTAGAAACAGTTGTAAGTTACCATAGGGGTGGTGGGAATTGGACCCGGGTCCTCTAAAAGAACAGCTGGTGCTCTTAACTGCTGAGCCATCCCTCCAGCCCAGCTAGCTGTCTTAAATAGCCTAGGATCTCTTGCTCAGAGATGGTACTGTATAGTGGACTGGGCTTGCCTGTTTCAATCAGCAGTCAAAAAAGTTCCCACAGACATGCCTAAAGGCCAATTTGATGGAAGTAATCCCCTGATGGAGACTTCCCCAGATAACCACGGGCTGTCGAGTTGACATTTAATGCTAACTAGGAGAAATATCTTGCATAAACTTAGGCAAACCTATCTCAAACCCGTAATTAGAGTCCCACAGAAAGAAATACAGTATTTATTCATGTAATTCATTCCGCAAGGTTTGTGCATTCACTACTGAAGATTTTTTTCTTTAGGAGTAGAAACAAGTGCTTTTTATAGGTTGGAAACACAAAACAAGACAAAAATCAACCTAGATTGCTAATATAAATGCTACTATCTATGGCTAATGTAAATACCTTTTTTTTTTTTTTTTTTAGATAGGATTTCTCTGTGTAGCTCTGGCTGTCCTGTAACTCACTCTGTAGACCAGGCTGGCTTTGAACTCATAGAGATCTGCCTGCCTCTGCATCCCAAGTGCTGGGATTAAAGTTGTGCTCCACCACCGCCCGGCTAATATAAATATCTTTGGGAAGACTGCTCAAGATAAAGCATGTACAGGGGCTTAAGCCTGGAGGCTATCCAAACAGACACTAGGCAGAGAGTGGCACAGTCATACTTGGTCTGGTATGAGTAAAAGGAGGCCAATGACTGGTTTTAAGAAAGGAGCTAACATGACCAGAATTACATTTAAATTTTTTAAGACAGGGTCTCATTTAGCCCAGGTTAGCCCCAAACTACATAGACAAAGATAATCTTGAATTTCTGATCGTCCTAAGTGGTGGAATTACAGAATTGGGCTATCACACCCATTTAGATTTCCATTTTCTAAAAACTCATGCTGAAATGAGAACAGAGACTTGGAGGAAAAAGCATACACTGAAAGAGCAGTTAGGAGGCTACAGAAAAAATGCAGGCAAGACTCAGAGGAGATCTTACTTTAAAAGATAATGGAAACACCTTTTAAATACCACAGACATGGAAATAAGGAAATGGACCTAAGATATATTTAGTAGTGTAAAATGTCAGAATTTAGTAATGGCTTGGACACCACAGTGAGAGAAAGATTGCAGATACTGAGGTGCGGAGTCTCCACAATCACAAGGAGAGAAAAACATGAAATAAAGATCGTGGCCAGATATGGTGGCATACTCCTTTAATCCCAGCACTTGGGAGAGGCAGGTGGATCTCTCTGAGTTCTCTTTGAGCTTCAGGCCAGCCTAGTCTACACAGTGAGTTCCAGGCTAGCCAGGCTTACATACTGAGATCCTATTGAAAGGAAGAAAGGAAAATAGAAGAAGAATAGATCAAATATGATCGAGGAAAGGAAAAGAGAAGTCATGGACTCAGTTTTGGGTATTGCTTTTGACAAGCCTTTAAGATTTTTAAATGGTAGTCAATGAGGCAGTAAGATGAGTCCCGGGCAGATGAGATAGTTCAGGGGATAAGGCTGATGGCCTGAGTTGGATCCTTGAGGTCCACATAGCAGAAGAGAACCTACTCCTGCAAGCTGTCCCCTAAACCCTCACATTAGAATGGCATGCACATGTGCCTTCCAATGAATAAATAATAATAATAATAATAATAATAATAATAATAATAATAATGATAATGATAATAATAATAGAGTCCAGAGCTTTAAAGGATAACCTTGAGTAGACTTCTTTAAACTGAATTTCTGGGTTATTTGAGAATAACTGATAAGCTATTTGGGGCAAGAGCAAAGATGCAGGATTAGACTTAAGGAATTCCAACATCTGATAAACTGGGAGAAAAACAGTCTGTACAGAAGACTAATTAGAGGAACCAGTGAAAAGAGAGAGGAAGTGAGAAGCCATGATGCCACAGAGCCTGGGGTAAGAGGATTTTCAGAGAAGAAGCCGACAGTGCTGATCATGCAGACGGGTCAAATCAAAAAGACTTCTTCAGGTCCGTGGGCTTAACGGCATGGAGATGACCGCTGAACCCGACAGGAGCTGCTGCAGCAGATGACGGAAGGAACCACGGCAGAGGTGATGATCACGAAGCAGAAAATGCGGCTGATCTCAAAAATGAAAACAAGTAAGCAAAGTGCAATCCTGAGGAAGAGTTTAGACTGAGAAAGTTACATGGAGACTACAAAAAAAAGAAACACATTGCTGCAAAGCTTTCCCAGCTCTTCACATGCCATGCAGATCCTGAGTAAGGTGGCTCAATACGGCAGGGAAGCCCAAGTTACAGGGAAGGGGAGGCTCAGGCGGAGGGTTTACGGCAGTACAGGCTGGAGTACGGGGGTGGGGGGTGGGGGGTGGGGGGGTGTGGGGACACACCGAGGGACATGACATGGAAGAACACACAGTGCAACCGTGGGGTGGGGAGAGCAGAGCTAAATTATCTTTGCATGATGGTCTTCACTTGTAAATAGAGAAAACAAGTTTCTTGGCAAAATTGCTCTCGGATTTCAGACAGGATGGCAGAATTTGACTAATACTGTCCTATAAGAGAAAACAGGAAACTTTCAAACAGATAGCTGTGTATTCCTAAAATGGGGGTGTTTTGTTTACTGCTGGGCTATAACCCTCATTTTCTTTCTTTGTTTCTTTTTTTTCCCCTTTCTTTTAACCCTCATTTTCTACCTGTGATAAGATACTGGATAGCAACATTTAGGTTTTTTGACCTATTTTGAGATAAATATACTTGTCTCACAGACTTATAACTAATGATATTGCATATACAGCGATTCAATAAGTATCATATAAGTCAAAAGTATATTCTTATATTACAGCTCATCTTGAAAGGAGAAAGAGAATAAAGAGAAAGTAAGTTGGGACAGTAAAATCAATTTGAAATCGAGTGGACAAAAGAATGGAGGGTGAAAGGGGCTGGAGAGATCAGAGAACCGGTCCAGGCAGATAGAGAAGACAGATGAGGCCTGTGACAGGCGATCTGCTGAGAACGCCTCAGCCCTCCATCGCCTTCCCTCACTGTTTCTATATATAGCCCAGACAAAAGAACTCTAAGCCGACTCTTCTTCTGCCTTATCACGCCAGTGGCATTATCTGTGGTCCAGCAAGTTTTCTCTCCCAGGAGTCTCCTAATCAATACTGAACCTGACATCAACCTGGTGTTGTTATTCAGTGTTCTAGGCCACTTCCTGAACTCAGTTATTCAAACAAAAGCAAAAGCAAAATGAAACTCACATTTGGTTCTGCTAAACTAAGAACCCCCTGTGAGAAGAATGAGAAGTATGTTTACAGAACACCAAGCTCAGTGGGAAGACTGATGGGTATAAAATAAGAGAATAGTCTTAAAGTTAATATAATAGAACAAGGTAGGGGCCCAGGTTTAGATGAATATTTAACACTCTTCTTACTGTGTGCTGAGGACCATCTTCATTATCCCGCATGTAGAAAGGCTTGAGAGCCAATGGATAGTTAATGACAAAGACTGGTATGTTGCCACAGTGTTTCACCAGGTACTTCTCATGTTCAGTCTGCAGATCAACACCCCACTGTAATGAGAAACGAGAAGACAAGGATAAAATATACACACAAAAACAACCTGTACCAGCTCCAAGGGCTCTCTCTCCTTGGGGCTCAGTGATGTGTGCGGCTGTCTGCCAAGGCTACACAGCTGACTAAACTCAAGGGAAATACTTGCTAATAAGAACGGCCAAAGGCCTGGAAAGATGAAAGCTGAAACCAGTAGATAAACACTATTGTTTCTGTGCTCTATCTCAGGGAATAGCACTCAGCAAGTACAGCACAAGCAGGAAAACAAAATACTTTCCAAAGGGATAAAACGGATGCAGAATTACAGTTTTTATTAATATTGCCTAGAGTTTCTCCCCTAGTTACTGTTCCTAAGTCTCAGGAAATTAAATGACGGGTGATGGTACTTCTAATACTAAGCCTATCTTTAGTGAGATAGCTTTTCTCAGTGAATTTCTATTTTAATAAAAGAGCCAATTCATATATGAGATGTTCTTTGATGACTATGTAATAATACTATTCTATTTATTTAGTAAATACTACTATGACTATTAATTCCAGGTGGCATATTAAGTGTTGGATATAGTAGTAAGAAAAAACAAAACAAAAGGGTATCATTCCTGACTTCATGAAGCTTGGTAGGAAATATCAAAAAAGAAATTACACCGGGCGGTGGTGGCGCAGGCCTTTAATCCCAGCACTTGGGAGGCAGAGGCAGGTGAATCTCTATGAGTTCAAGGCCAGCCTGGTCTCCAAAGCGAGTTCCAGGAAAGGCGCAAAGCTACACAGAGAAACCCTGTCTCGAAAAAAACAAAACAAAACAAAACAAAGAAATTACACAATTAATTATTATAGAACCAATAAGTGCTGGCTGGTGGTGCACACCTATAATGCCGGCCATTGGGAGGTAGAGGCAAGATCAGCAGTTCAAGGTCATCCTCACTATGCAGGAAATTGGAGGGTAGCTGGACTGCAAGAGATCCTTCCTCCAGAACTAAAGCAACAGCAACAAAGAAGCTCAAGGTACTGTTAAAATTTGTAAGCACATCTAACAACTGGACATGGGACCAGTGGGAAGGGCTGTTCAAAGACAAGGGTAGCACATCATACTACTTTACTATTCCCACGTTTGGCAGTACCCTCTACCCCACAAACACTTTAAACAAGAAGTTTAAACAAGATGCTTAATTAGGGAAAACTATTTTAGATTTATTTTCCAAAGAGGAATTTCCCCTACTTAAATAAGATTGGCCTACATGTAACAGTTATACATAAACAAAAATTACAAAATTGCCCCTACTTTTATAATGATAGATGAAAAACATTACAATTCTCCAATCAAGGATATTTATTTGTATTGTTGGGGTTTTCTGCTGAAGTTAGGATGAGTTTGTTCTCAGTCTCTTAGATGTTTGGTCAGCCACAGAAAACACAGGGATCTCCTCAGCTACAGAATGACAAGCATAGGTCTGCACCAAATGGGCATACCAATGAGTTAACAGGAAGATAAAGCTGAATAAACAGGTCGCTAATGGAGAAAGGAAATATCATCATACAACCAGTATTTTCCCTACCCCGTCTCTCTTTGGTGTCAATCAAAAACATCTACTGGAAATTCAATTTTAAAAAAGCAACATACACCAGTTACATTATGTATAATAAAGGAATGTGGATGGTGAAAAATGAAAGAATAAGAAAACATTACTCAGTTGGGTGGTGGGAGGCAAAGGCAGGCAAATCTCTGAGTTCAAGGCCAGTCTGGTCTATGAAGTGAGTACCAGGATGACCAGGGCTACACAGAGAAACCCTGTCTCAGAAAACAAAACAAAAACGAACAAACAAAAACCAAACAAACATAAAAGGAAAACATTACTGGACTTCAGCCAGGGAAGCAGTTATGCTAGCTGAAGATCTTCACCTCTCCCAGCTCTGTAGCAAATTACCTGCGGCAGGCACCCCACCCCCATCTCCAGTGGATCACACAGATCTCCCATTCCCAACTCATTGATCTATCCAGCCTCAGCCCCACCCCCAGCCTATCTCCATTACTAAGTGTCAGCTCCCAACACATTTCATCTGAAACCCCCAGGGGCCACACCTATCAGGATTCCAGAAAAATTTCCTACCTGACAACACAGAGCCACCACACTCTTCTAAGAGCCATAGAAGGCAACAAAAACCAAGCGACAAAACACCCACACAACAAAGACAAGACCAGAGATCAGCACCTAGAATTACAATTTCCCCAAACTCAGATGCCTGCATGAAGACACAATCACTAACAGCCAGGACAATATGTCCCACTAGAGCTCAGCAAACCCACAGCACAGCAGGCCTGGAGTATTGTAATGTAGCTGAGTCAGAAGACAAGGACCTTAAAACTGTCTTTATGAATATGATAGATGCCCTTAAAGAAGAAATGGATAAACCCCTTAAAAAAACCTATGAAAATACGAACAGCTCAAGGAAATAAAATAGTTCAAGACAAGAAAGTGGAAATAGAATCAATAAAGAAAACCCAAACTGAGGGAAATCTAGAAATGAAGAATTTAGAAATGCAAACAGGAACCTCAGAGGCAAGCCTTACCAACAGATCACAAGAGATGGAAGAGAGAATCTCGGACATTGAAGATACAATAGAGGAAATGGATATCTCGATCAAAGAAAATGTTAAATCTAAAAAAAGGCCTGGAACAAAATATCCAGGAACTCTGACGATGAAAACACCAAATGTAAGAATAATAGGAATAAAGGAAGGAGAAGAAACCCAGGTCAAAGGCACAGATAACATTTTCAACAAATTCACAGAAGGAAATTTTCATATCCTAAAGAAAGAGATGCCTACAAAGGAACAAGAAGCATACAGAACATCAAATAGATTGGACCAGGAAAAAAAAAAGTCCCCATAGCACATCATAATAACACAACATACAGAACAAGGAAAGTATTAAAATTAAAATATTAAAAGCTGCAAGAGAAAAAGACCAAGTACCATGTAAAAGCAGACCTATCAGAATAACACTGAACTTCTGAATGAGACTCTAAAAGTCAGAAGGGCCTGGACATATGTCGTGCAGATATATGAGACCACAGATGCCAGCCCAGACTACTATTCTCAGCAAAACTTTTAATCACAATAGATGGAGAAAATAAGACCATTCCATAAAACCAAATTTAAGTAATATCTATCTACAAATCCAGCTGTAGAGAAGGTGCCAGAAGGAAAACTCCAACCTAAAGAAGGTAACCACACCTCAGAAAACACATGAAAGAAACAATCCCAGACCAGCAATCAAAATTGTCCTCCCCCCCCTCTCTCTCTCTCTCTCTCAATAAGTAAAATCACCAAAACCAAAACCAAATAAAACAGAATCAACAAATACCACTCATTGATATCTCTCAACATTAATAGTCTCAATTTCCCAATAAAAAGACAAAGATTAAGAGAATGGATATGAAAACAGGATCCATCCTTCTGCTGCATCTAAGGAACACACATTAACATCAAGGATAGATATCATATCAGGGTAAAAGGATAGAAAAAGATATTCCAAGCAAATTGACCTAAAAAGCAAGCTGGTGTAGCCATTTTTAACATCTGACAAAACAGACTTCACACCAAAAGTAATCAGAAGAGACAGGAAAGGACACTATATACTCGTCAAAGGAAAAAATTTACCAAGAGGACATTAAAAGCTTTAACATTTATGCTCTAAAGACAAGGGTACCCAAGTCCATGAAAAAAGTACTATTACAGCTTAAATTACATACTGACCCTCACACATCGATACTGGAAGATTTCAGTACCCCACTCTTGCCGATAGACAAGTCCTGTAGACAAAAACTATACAGAGAAATGCCAGAGCTAACTGACATTATACACCAAATAGACAATAGATGTCTACAGAACATTTCGCCCAAACATAAAAAGACTATACCTTCTTCTCTGCACCTCATGGAGCTTTCCAAAATTGATCACATACTCAGACACAAAGCAAGTCTCAACAGATAAAAGAAAACTGACATAACACTCTGTCAGACCACCGTGGATTAAAGATGGGTATCAACAACAACAGAAACAACAGAAAAGCAACTTCAAAATACTTATAACTTCTAGTGAAATAGAAGCAGTCATGAAAATTCTCCCAACCACAAAAAGTCCAGGGCCAGATGGTTTTAGTGTAGAATTCTATCAGACTTTCAAAGAAGAGTTAATGCTAATACTCCTCAAACTATTCCAAAAAATAGAAACAGAATTTTGTGAGTTCTAGGCCAGCTTGGTCTACATAAGGAGTTCCTGGTCAGCCTGGGCAACATAGTGAGACTGGATTCAAAATGACTAACAACCATGTCTAACAAAAACTCACAAATACTATGCACAGATCCACAAATACTTACATTACTAATAAAAGAAACAAAGTTATTTAATGAAGCTAAAGATAATAGGGACACACACACACACACACATACAGTACCTTGGGGGTAAAGGTGAAATTCTGGGATGCTTGCTTTAAGATCTCAACCGCCTCTGTATAAGACATGCTGGGAGAAAACAAAGCAAAAGTAGAAAGGTTAACACAGTGGGACTGCCGTTTTAGACTAGAAATAAAGATGCCAATGGAATCTGTGAGGTCATAAATAAGTACTAAGTAATTGGAAATTTAGGCTGATCTAATCCTAGGAAAATGTGATCTGCATGAAGACAAGTGGCTGCATGAAGACAAGTGGCTGTTCAATAACTCCACTCTTGCCCGGCATGCAACATGCACAAAAGTCACACCAGAAAGCAGTCTTCTCAATGCCAATGCTACGCTAATTCTCTACTAAAAAGGTATGAAATACTGAGGCTCAAAGAACAAAAGACTTTTTTAAAAGTCGTCACTTATTATTTATTCATCGAGTAAACATATATGTCACAGCCACTAGATGCTAAGCATTATTCTAGGTACTAGAGACACTATAGACAAAAATAAAGCCCCTTCCTTCCTTGAGCTAAGGTGTGTGTGTGTGTGTGTGTGTGTGTGTGAGAGAGAGAGAGAGAGAGAGAGAGAGAGAGAGAGCGAGCAAGTAAACAAGTAATAACAGTGCCAGGTAGCCATTACGAAGAAAAATACAGTAGGGAGGTGTCTGAGGTGTCTGGGTTACCATTTTAGGTAACACGTTCAGGAAAGGCCCACTTAGTTGGTGACATTTGAATGGAAACCTGCATCAGAAAATGAAGAAAATGAACCATAAAAATAACTGGGAGGAATAGACTAGACAAAAAGAATTCCAAGTACAGGGCCTTCAGTGAGGAACGGTTTGTCCCTCTGGAGGAACAAAAAGGTCAGTGTGACTGGAGCACACTGAGCAACGGGGAAAAATCCCAGGAAATGCAGCAAGACTGTAGTCAGATCATGAGCACTTCTTCAGACCTTGGGAGAAGTCGTGCTAACGTACTCTAAGCATTCTAAGACTGCTGAGGAAAAGTCGCATTGGTTTTCTCAGTAAGGAACTCTCAAGCCTACCATGAGAAAATACCATCACATGTGTGTGCACACCTAGAGGCTGAGATGGGAGGACCGCTTGAGCCCAGGGGTTCAAGGTCAGTCTGAGCTACAAAGGGAAAGGAAGATGGTAAGAGAGGAGGAGGAAGGGAAAGAAGAAAAGAAGAAAGAAAGGGAGAGAAAGAAGGAGGGAGGAAAATAAAAGCTCATACATCTCCCACCTTGTTCCACAGTCGCTGACTTCCTTCTCTCATGTTTTTTTTTTTAAATGTTATACTTGTGAGCACCTGTGTGCATGTATGCATGTATAGCATATGTGTGCCTGGTGCCCATTGAGGCCACAAGGTGTTGGATCCTCTGGAACTTGAGTTACAGAAGGTTGCTGTAACTCCATGTGCTGAGAATTGAATCTGAGTCCTTTGCGAGAATAGCAAGTGCTCTGAACTATTGTGAAATCTTCCCAGCACCTCCTCTCAAATACTGTATTCACTGTTACCACTTCCTTGTGTATCCTTTTAGAAGATTATAAGTAAATATGTGATTATTTATAACATCTATTTGAGTAAATATCAGAGCATATATCACATACACTTTGATTTTACTCAATATTATATGTTATAGATTTTTTGTATTGTGATGAAGAACTTGTTTTACTAGACAAGGTCTCATGTAGCCCTGGCTAGCTTCAAATATGCTATGTAGATGAGGGTGACCCTGAATTCCTGATCCCCCTGCCTCTGCTTCCTGAGCACTGGGATTACAAGCATCTGCCACCACATACAATTTTATGTGATGCTGAGAACTGAACATGATAGACAATCTCCATGCATGAGAGAGAAGCTCTCTATTAACTGAGCTAGTCACAGCCCAAGAACTTCATTGTCTGAATTAAAACAGAACATTCTAATTATATGTATGTATGTGTGTGTGTGTGTGTGTGTGTGTGTGTGTGTGTGTGTGTATTTACTTTAGTTACCCATTAATGGTATTTCAGATGTTTCTAATCTTTTGCTACTATAAATCATGACTGCACATCTAACGCAACTGAATAATTTTTACACACTGAGAAGATAGGATTATTGGATCAAAACTTGGAATTTTTTATGTATTCTGAAGTATACTGATTAATTTACTGGCCTCCCTTCCAAAAGGTCATAAAAATGCACACATACCAGTAGCACATGAACATACTAGTAGCATATGAACACACCAGTTTCCTTGAAAATTATAAGAAAAAATACTGCAACAGTATTTGGGATGATTTAAAAAAATCTACAAAGCTTTCTGAAGGACTCTGAGCTCAATCTACCAGTACAAACTTATGCTCTGAATTTTGTACCTATACAAACTAACAAGAAAATGTCTTTATGGTGCAAATACAGCCAGATGTGCTTTGAGTGAGTGACAGATTTTGTTTTAAAATGAACATTCTCTTCAAATTCCACTCTGTGTAATTTCTAAGGAAATAGTGGTGGCATTAGGTTTTGTGAGTAATAATAATGTAAAAGTTGAGTATTCTGCAGCCGGGACTCTGAAGCTTAGGGAGAATGCGAGTGACTTGCCAGAGATCTCTCCTGTGAAGTAAGAAGCCGATCTGCTGCCTCAGCCCATGCTTCCAATTGCTAAGCTAGCATTCAACACTTGCATTTTCATGTGCTCCATCAGAACAAAAGATAATGGCGGCTGAGTTCTGACTCTACTAGTTAGTAATGCTAATTGCTTCAACTTAATGAGAACACATGATTAATTTTTGTAATGTTATACATTCAAAATTTAAGTATTTGTACACATAAAATATTTTGTCTGAAGCTCTTTCCTTGGACGTTCTATGTTCTAGTTCATCAATTACTTCAAATGATCTACCAATTACACTGAGAAATATTAAGAAGCGGCAGTTTTTATACAGTTACTACGCTACTGTTTCATTATGAGGAAACAATAATTCTAATATTTCTTCTGGGGATAACGATCTCCTCCACTTTCCCCCCACCCCCACTCCCTCTTAATTTAAAGCATCGCTTTCAAGTTTAGATTACAGCTCTGATACTGGATATCCTTAATGGGCTTTTCAAAGTCTCTCTACTAAGTATGTTTCTTGATATGCATAAAGAATATTTCTTTGCCTTTCCAGAAACTGTTTCCCAAGTGCTTTGAGGAAAAAAAGGAAAGTCACTATAATTTACTTGAACTGTTTGGGGATCTAATCATACTATTTGTTATACTTAGTATAGTATTACGTATTAAATATTACAGGTACTCTGTGGTATGAAGGTGTGTATGGGTTATATGCAAAAAGTATGGCATTTTATATAGAGGGCCTTAACTATTCAGATTTTAGTATACACGGAGTTCAGAGAACCAACCTTCAGGGATACCAAGGGATTACTGTACAAGGTATGAATTTTAGTAATACAAATCATAATTACTATGTTCATTTATTTTGCTATAATTCATGTATTATTAATGGTACATGAGTTATTAACTATGAATTAAGTATAAGAGCAATAAAAAATAATTAGAATATGGGTCTTTCCTCAAATCTGGTTTCATAAACACAGATATATATATATATAAACAAAAATTATAACTCCATGTGATATAATGGCCAAGTATGAGCAAAGTCCAGGAAAATTGTAATTTCTACTTACATTAGGAAGTTGTTTTTTAGCATATGTTCTAGTCTGTCCTTGATAAGACAAAAGAGAACAAAATTTAAATGTAATTATATCCATTATATATAATTAATATACTTAAAGTGCCATGAATTTGGCCTTATCCACAAATGTATTACCTTCTGGCCAGGAGCTATGAATTTGTGGCACAGTTCAACATCTTCAGGACAATTTGAGAGAACCATCTCAGTGGCAGCCTTGAAGAGTTCCTCCATGACCTAAGAGAAACGAGGCAGAACTGCCTGAACAGCAGTTTTACACAAAACCCAACCGAGCTTCAGGGCTTGAACGGCCACCCTCCAGCTTCCAGCACCTAAAGTCCATTAAGCTCCTTAACCCCTGAATGTACTAGAGCAAGTCAGATCAATACTGGTATTGAAAAGAGCTGCCAAATGAACAGCTATCATTGACTGGTGTCTCTTTACTTATTAATGGACTCACTTACAGAACTAAGACAATCACAGCACTTCGTTCACTGGATTGTTGTGAGAATTATATGAAATCATCTTGTGTATTAGGTTAGTTTCTGGTTCAGAGAAATATATATGTTATTAGATTTTGTCAAGAGAGAACTTTTTGCATAGTTGGGTCAGTCAATGGTAAATGAAAGGAAACTTGAAAGCTTGAGAAGCAACAACATGCATTGAAATGATAATTGTATACACTTTTGTATGTTAAAATATAAAAACATAAATTAGTATATAAGAACTAATTCTACCATGAATATCCCTGGAAGACTCATGGGAGATATGTTTTCCTTAGAAAGAAGCAGTAACTACAACAGAAAATACTTCTGAAATTATTTATTTATTGGTTTACTTACTAAATTTATTTCTTTTGAGACTACGTCTCACTGTGTAGCCCTGGCTGGTCTGGAACTTACTATGTAGACCAGGCTGGCCTCAAACTCACAGAAAGTGCTGGGATTATTAGTCTGCCACTACACCTAGCCAAGAGTTTGTGCTTCTAAGCCACCAATAGTGTAAACAGCAATGATGACTAATTTGGGGGTAGAAAAGCAAGTTAGAATCCCAAGATGAAATAGGAGTAAAGAAAAAGTCAGAGGGAATAGATAAAACCAAGCCAAACTTTCTGAGGGCTTTGCAGTCTCAGGAGAGGAGAGATATTTAAATATTGTAAAGATGTAAACCATTACTATAAACAGGGCTGGCTCTATGGCTTAGTGGGGAGTGCTGCCTAGCTCCCCAGCACTGCATCAACAGGAGGCGTGGCAGTGTGCCAGCAGCACAGCTGTAACTGTGGCTGATATACTGTGCACCCCAATAGATGTATCTGGAGTCAGAGAACAGAACAGCCACTCTATTAAACATAGAGTCAGGCAGTGGTAGCACACGCCTTTAATCCTACCACTTGTGAGGCAGGGATCTGACTGGATCTCTGTGAGTTCAAGGCCACACTGGAAACAGAGCCAGGCACGGTGATACACACCTTTAATCCCAGCACTAACCATGGAGGTCTGTAGGTCTGTAAAGACAGACAGGAAGTGACAGAGCTGGGCAGGAAGAGGAAGTGATGTAGCTGGGCTGAGAGAGCAAATGAGAGAACAGACCAGAAAGGCATACAGGTGTGGGTAGACAGGAAGTAGCTTGCTTTGGAAGCTGCGGAGTTGGTGAGGTGAGGTTAGCTGTGGCTTTTCCTATTCCTCTGGTCTCTCTCAGGCTTTAACCCCAATTTCTGGCTCAGAGATTTTTATTAATAAGACCATTTAGTAATTCGTCTACATATAACCCTAGCCCGTGGGAAGTGGAGGCAGGATCAAGGGTTCAAGATCACTCTCTGATATATGAGATCCTGTTTCAAAAAACCAAATGCCTAAAACACCATACACCGAATGTTTAAATTCTAAAAGGAAAAGAAGAGCAGACCAATCCAAAGGAGAGAGGAGTCGTCAGAGGACTTGAAAAAGGAGGAGCAATCAGTGGCTAAAGGTCCTCCCTTCACTTCTAGCTGCTATTACCTTCCCACACAGCAGTGAGACAGCCAGACAGCCAGGTGACTGAATGGCTTACAAGGGTCCTATACCTCAGTTATTAACAAAGCCCACACGAAGTAGGAGGGCAAAGAACAGGCGGACGGGGTGGTCCTTCTGTACTGTGGAAGAACACAAGACTTGGACCACCTGGGTTGTTAAATTGCTGTCTTATGAGCAGGCAATTTGAAGATGGAAACCTCTGCTTCCTTCCTCAAGTCTGACTTTCAGACTAAGTTCTATAAATACTACATCTGATAAAACCAGAAACTATGGTGAAGGGTTGAGTATAAGATGTTTTTAAAATTTACTAAAGTAGTCTTTAGTAATTACTTATAATTCATGAAGGAAAAAAATTTTTTTTGTAACATTCCAAGTCAAAACTTAAATGCACCAAATAGAACAGAAGAAATGGTGTGTGCCACCATATCCTATGAACCGTGGGTACTTTTACATTTTTGAGATTTTTATTTTTATGGTAATTTTTGTTTTGTCTTTTTGAAGAAGCCTCATTTTGTAGTTTAGGCTAGCCTGGACCTTATAATCTTCTTGCCTCTCCCTTCTAAGTCAAGGATTGTAGCATGTGCGCTAGTTCTAAATTGGCAAATTAAAGATCACCAAAGATAAAACCTTTTTCTCTGTGTATGATATTGTTAGGAGAGGGAAAAGACAAGCCACCCACATCAGGAGAAATACTTGCAAATTATGTATCTGGAAAAGGAATTTACATTTGAAAATGAAAAAATTTCAAAGCTCAACAACAAAGGGACAGGTATGGTGGTGCACACCTTCCCAGCACTCAGGAAGTAGAAAGGGCCAGAGCTCTGAGCTCAAGGCCATCCAGGGCTACATAGTGATACCCTGTCTCAAAAACCCAAAACAATCAAAGCTCAAAAAGAAGAAAACAAACAACTTGACCAAAGACTAGAAATTGATGGCTAGTAGGCAAATGAAAAGATGTGTAACATAGAAAGCCTCAAGAGATACTGGGGAAATACAAAATGAAACCATAATATGATGCTGATGCATAGCTAACAGATTTACACATTGATTCATTCTCTGTGTGAACACACAGTGTGTGGTGTGTGTGTGTGTGTGTGTGTGTGTGTGTGTGTGTGTGTGTGTGTGTGTGCCTGCCTATCTGTCCGTGTCTTTCACCGACTCACGTACACAAACACCTCCCTGACTAAGTACTGGTGATGAGCAGACAAACTGGTGTTTGCATATTCCTTGTAGAAATGCAAAAGAGTAAAGTCACTTTGTAAATCAGACAGGTTCTTGAAAAAAAACTCACTCCTAGAGCCTCACCCAAGAGAGATGAAAACTATGTTCACCTGTGTGAACCTGCCCATGGAGGTTTATACCAACTTTTCTCATTGCTTTCAAAGACTCAACTATATCAAATGTTCTCCAATGCGAATGGTAAACAACTGAGCTGCATCTGCATCAGGGCACTACCCAGAAAACAGGAGAATGTGGTACACAGTATACGAAGTGGCAGGAGACAGTTAGGATACATGTACTTCACTGAAGCTCACTTGACATTCTACAAAGGGCAAATTACTTAAGAGAGACAGGGCAGACCAGCGGTTGGCCGTGGGAGGGGTTAGAATGGAAGGCAGCAGCAGTCGGGAGTTGTTTTGTAATACCAAAATTGTTCTGTATTTTGACTGCAGCCATAGTAACAGAGGTGGACACATGCCTTAAAACTTAAAGTTTAAATGAACACGATGCTAATAAAACAGACATAAATCAGCACTGTCATAGGAAGCCACTGAAAGCTTCTCAGAGCGTAAGCACGGCTGTCTCCACCCCCAGACCCACTTCATCTAAAGCAACTGGACACAGAACTGCTCATCTCTGGGGTCATCTGATCTGATTTATGGCTCCCAGACTTATTTTGAAATATATATGAAATAACACCAGTAAGAGTATCTTAGGTGGTAATGCTCTGGATAAAATGACTATACTGTTCTGGTTCACATTATTCTTGGACATTAGTACTTAAGAATCCCTCAGCAGTCTGGCTTGGTGGCTCATGCTTTTAATCTCCAAGCACTCTGGAGGCAGAGGTAGTGGATCTCTGTGGGTTCCAGGCCAACCTGGTCTACAAATCTAGTTCCAGGGCAGCCAAGGCTGTTACACAGAGAAACCCTGTCCCAAAAAACCAAAAACCAAAAACCAAAAACAAACAAACCTACACAAAACAAAACCAAAAAAAAAAAACAAAAAACCCATTAGCTAAAATATCTATAAACAACCACAATAATAGTGAATGAATGAATGAGAGAGAAAAACAGAATGGAATAATGATACATTTTAAATTTTGTTATTACAATCCTCCCAAGTGCTGGGATTAAAAGCGTGTACCACCACTCCCCGGCAATGTTATTACATTTTTAAAAATATTTATTTTTTATTTTAGATGTATAGGTGTTTTGTTTATATGTACAAGTGCACACCATTTACGTGCCTGATGCTTGTGGGGGCTAGAAGAAGGCATCAGATCCCCTGGAACTGGAGTTACAGATGGTTGTGCGCTGCCATGTGGATGCTGGGAATCAAACCCAGGTCCTTCGGAAGAGTAGCCACTGTTCTTAATCACAGAACCATCTCCAGGCCCCATTATCACATTTTTGATTAATTTTGTGATGTTATGGTATCTGTGTGAAGGTCAGCGGGAATCAGTTCTTGCCTTCCACCATGTGGGTCCCAGGGATCAAACTTTAGTTATTGGGCTTGGCAGCAAGTGCCTTTAACCACTTTATGAAAATCTGGAGCTGAATTCTGTTTACATTTCCTACAGTGGTATTTACATATCCATTTCTCAATGTTCTTATGAAAAAACCTTGAGGAAATAAAGGTATTTTGCAATCCTGTCATGTGTCAAACAATTTACATGTCATCTTCATAACCTTTCCCTCTGGCATGTTTGCTGAGGCAGTCTAAGTGCAGTGGAGGCAGATACAGAGCGGTCTGAGAGGAAGTGGTTCCTTTCCTTACGATGCTCTCAGTATCTAAGTGAAGAAAAGACACTGGGTGGTGAGCTCAAATACAACGGCTTAAGGAACACATACTGTCTTTTAAGGCTCAGTGCTTAACTCCCTATGGTCAGCATCAGGGTTATTCCAGAGGCACTATTAACATTTGAACTAGGTAATTCTTCTGGGGAGGAGAATTAATTCTGTGAGTGATAGGATGTTGAACAGCATCTCTGTCTTTAGCCATTACATACCAGCAGTAATTACTCTGCCCATCACCATCTGTAGGGATAAGCAGAAATGTCCCATGGGTGATGCTGATCTAAAACAGTCAGTGGAAGGTATTACAAATGCATGGCCCAATATGCTACCCGGCAATGTTCACTGCTGATGGACTCTTGAGGAACTGTCAGCCCAAAGGCACTGCCTTACTCAAGGTTATGTTCTTTGAGGCTAGTTAACCATGTCAAATAACTGGTTGATAGGAAAAAGCACAAACGCCCATGCCCCTGTTCTCCTGAGGGAAAGTTGTTTTTAGCTCCTAACTTCCTCATAGAAAAGGTAGAGGTCTCTCTAAACGCACCACAGTTCAACTTCCCCTCTACTCAACGCTTCTCCAATCCTTTCCTTACAGACCCTGTTCTCAAAAGCTCCTTAAAACCTCTAACAGCAGGGGCTGGAGAGATGGCTCAGCAGTGGAGAGCACTTGCCATTCTTACCTGGGTGACTCTTGGTACCCACATGGTAGCTCACAACTGTTTACAACACCAGGTTCAATAGCTCTGACACCCTATTCTGGCTTCTGCTGGCACCAGGCACATATGTGGTGCATATACATACACACAGGTAAAACACTCACACATATAAAATAAAACAAATAAATCTTAAAAACAAAAACCTGAGGTAGAGAGATGACTCAGTTGTTATTCACTGAAGATCCAAGTTCAGTGCCCAGCACCTATGATGGATGGCTTACAACTGCCTATAACTTGAGCTCCAACAGGGGGGTCCAACACCACTGGCCTATTTGAGCATTCATTCTCCCTCCCTCCCTCCCTCCCTCTCTCCCTCCCTCCCTCCCTCCCTCCCCCACATAGACGATTAAAAAAGAAAAGAACTCCACTGGCAATAAATCTGTCACAGAGTTTATTAGAAAAAGGGGCCGTATAAGGTCATGACTCTATCCTGCCTGTAGTGCCCATGCTTTAAAATGGTCATTTACAGCCGGGCGGTGGTGGTGCACACCTTTAATCCCAGCACTTGGGAGGCAGAGGCAGGTAGATCTCTGTGAGTTCAAGGCCAGCCTGGTCTACAGAATGAGTTCTAGGACAGCCAGGGCTGTTACACAGAGAAATACCTGTCTTGAAAAGCAAAAAATCTGGGTGAATAGGAGTATAAGATATACACTGAATAGAAAGTAAAGCTAACAAGAATTACTAAACTAAACATAGTTATAAATCCAAACTATGAGAGCGAATAACCAAATATCATTGACAGAGAATTTAAAATAGTAAGTTAATTATTTCTGCGTGATTACTAAGTATCACACACACACACACACACACACACACACACACACACACACACACACACACTCCCTCTCCACCATCTGCCCAATTCCCAACTGTTCTGTGAAGTAGGAATTAAAGTATATTAATTAAATAGATGGTTTTTCCTCCACCCCATGAATCTCTATAATGCAGAAGGACTGTAATGTCAGAGATTCCTGAAAATGACAAACTGTATACCTACCTGCATGAGATCCTGAAGGCTTTCAACAAAAGAAATCTCTGCTTCAACCATATAAAATTCAGCCAAGTGTCTCCGGCTCTGAGAATTCTCAGCTCGGAATGTTGGGCCAAAGGTAAATACTTGGGTAAAAGCTCTGCAATTTAAGATTAAGAACATAAAAATAGAATACACATGATTAATTGTAAGTATTTAAAATACCCTTAGCTCTTAAGAAAATATGTTTGCATCTATGCTGTGCCCACAAACCCACATATATTAGCTGCTCTATTTCTCTAATGGGGGATAATAATAGTTTCATTAAAAATGTTACATTTATAGAAACATTTTATCCCAAAGGAATCTGCAACTGCTTTATAAACCCTATGGTTTTCTAAATATAGAAACAAACCACTTCTGGGTGCACTCTACGGAAGCTGCCTTAAACAGCAGGCAACTACATTTCACTGCAGTAAGAACAAAGTAAAGGAAAAGTATCCCAGCTCAAGAAACAGAATTGAGTTAGTAACGACGACGACGACGACGACGACGACGACGACGACGACAACTAGAATTTCATGTGGATAAGGTGTGCTCAACTTATTTTTTAAATACACAAAGAAAGGATGTCATAAACATGTAGCACCCCTTGGTAGACATAGGTTATTAAATGAAAATCTCAGTACCAGGCATGGGATGCCTCCCTTTGAGCTGGTGATGTAGGAGAGCCCAGAGGCCCCCAAAACAACACAGGTTATTGCCACTGCTCTTGGCTGTTCACCAAAATTAGTCTATAAGACCCTATTGTCAAAGACACAACTCATCTTAGCTGCAAGGGCACAGAGAAATCAAGCTGGAACTGAATTGAAAACTTTCTCCTTGCTAACTAGTTGTCAGAGTGCTAGATCGTGCAATGCAAGCCACTGAGGGAAAAACATCAATGGTCTTACCCAGTCCTGGACCCCGAATGTTACAATACTGACCTGCTAGGCAAGATCTGACCGACCACTGGCACAACAGTGGTATGACCACTATGGGGGTAACCAACTGCTTTCTGACTGGACCTCAGGCCTGTTCCACAGGAGTGAATTTATGCCTTGTACTATAAACCTGGCCCAAAGCCCACGGTTTGGAAGGTCATAGGCCCTAAGGGAGAACCTATTATTGTTTTGTTAAATGGACATGTTGTTAAATTACTTCATAAATATGTTTAGACCCACTGATTAGTATGCTGTTCTCAACTTTGTCCAGAGAAGCCTTTTTCTGCTGTGGGCCATAATACAGAGACCCATAACTAGTCAAAGTGCTCAGAATAATTAACGGTTGAGTGCTCATTCCTAAAGGGGACATCTGTATCAACTCCCTGCCACCAGGCTCAGGAAACATCAAAGATGTGGCAGTAGGAAGGTTAAGAGCCAGGTAACAGAAAGGCAAGGTGGACATGTGGTTTTCTGGACACGACATGATCACTGCACTTGTGAATTCACGGCAGCTGTGGTCAAGACCAGGAGGCAACACTAGCTGGACTCACTGGGTGACAGACAGACAGACAGACAGACAGACAGACAGGCGCGAGCGCATACACGCAGGGGTGGGGTGGGGTGGAGGTAAAAAGGAAGGGGTTATGTCGGGAGGTGTTCCTCAGAAGGGTTAAGTGAGAGTTGCGGTGGGTATAATCAAGACATACTGTATACATGTATGAAACTGTCAGAGAAAACATAAAAGATCATCTAAAAATCATAACAATTCACCTATTTAAAGCCTGCTTAAATCCTTTACAACCACCTGTATCTTTTGTTTGACATCAAATTTGGGGTTAGGAAAGATTTTGGAGAACTGTCTACTACCCTCTCAATTTCAGAAGCAACACAGCTCCATTATTTAAATGGGGGAGTGCCTGGGTTTTAACTTCCTCCTAGAGGTGATGCTGTGGCTTCATTCTTTGATGTTAATATAGTTTCCCTCACATTCAACCAAGACTACAGCTGATATTAGATAAGCATATAAATTAAGAGTGAGTATTTATTAAGGATTCAATTTTAAATTTTGTTTTTGTACCAACAAAACGAAAGGTTTAAGGATCTGTGATCCTGAACTGACTTCATTTGTCACAGTCAGTACACACAGTATAGAAAATTCATGAATTAAAAAATAGATGCCATTTCCCCCCAAAGATATATTAAGAAATTAAAGGCTGAAATAACTATAATAGAAACCTATAATTTTTTTCTTTCAACGGCCTTTTCAGTTATCAGAAGCTTAGAGAACTGGGGTCAAAGGCATGCGCCACCACTGTCCAGCTTGTTAAGTTATCAGAAGCTTAGAAATTTATGTTTTGATTCTGCAATCACCTTCCTGAGACCAAAATCAGTAAACGTTTGAGAACCCTAGCATTTATTAGAAAAATAAACAGTAAAAAAAAAAAGAATCAAAATATTACTACAGTTACCTCTCTCTCCCAAGATTCAGATCCAGACCTGCCTACTGGAATGTTCCTAAGAAGGCGAAATCTACCATGTGTGGAATGAAACAATCCTCATTTTATTTTTAACATTTCCCCAGCTCTGCTAATCTACTTGCCACTAAGCTAGACCTCACTCCCCCGACTCCTTATTGCCAACAGGTCCAGCACCATTTTGATCACAAAATTCACTTGATATTTTACAAAAACACTCTCAAATCTAGTGACTCTTCTCTTATCTCACAGTGGTTGCCAGCATATACTTCTGTCTTCTGCTTGGAAAATAGTGTTTTTTTTTTTTTTTTTTTTTTTTTTTTTTTTTGTTGTTGTTGTTGTTGTTTTGATGCTGTTGTTTGAGACAGGGTCGTTTATGCAGTCCAAGCTGCCACTGAACTCGCAGAAGTCTAGACACAGCCTCCCAGGGGGAGTTGAGACAGGCTTTCTCTGTGTAACAGCCCTGGCTGTCCTAGAACTCACTCTGTAGACCAGGCTAGCCTTGAACTCACAGAGATCTGCCTGTCTCTGCCTCCTGAATGCTGGGATTAAAGGCGTGCATCACTACCACCAGGTACAAATACATTTTTTGACTGGCCCTTGCTTCCTGTCTTCCTCTGATTCCAAACTACTATGAGTTCTCCAAGTCGAATCTGATTACGTCAGTCAAATTTAAAAATCTCCAATGACTGTCACCAAGAGGATAAAATTCAAACTCCTCTTCTCTCCTCATGCAGCGTTTTTCAGTAGCCCTCTGAAGACATTCTCCTTACCTAAGCATGTTCTGAGCCGTACGTTTCTGCATAGAATATCCTCTCGTCCACCCTTGCTCTTCTCTCTCTAAACACAAACTCCCACCCAACCTCCAAAATTTCCCTAAATATCATTTCATTTTTGAAATTCTATCACTCCTCCCCCAACTTATTATCCCTCCTGTACATCACTATAACATTTTATCCATATATTATTATATAAAGTGTCTTACTTTGACATATAATTAGGTTTTTAAATATCCCCCTCTCCCTCAGAAAACTATGAAATTTTCCAGAACAGGAATCATGTTTTATTCATGTTTGCATTTCCAGTGCCTAGTTAAAACAGGTGTTCACATTGAATGAGCACTAACGATGATGACAGGCTTCCTCAGCATCCACTGGGAAGACGAAGCATCCTCATACAGCAACATGACAAAGAGCAAAACACTCAGATACTTTTTCAGGCTGCTCCTTAGTACCGAAAATGGATGCTGAAATAGGTATTAAAATGGGTCAAATAATTCTGATCTGTTCCAAGCATAACTTCAAATGGTACAAGCTGAGTTTCCAGTTTAGAGCTATGCTCTCCGAGATGGGCTGCCAATAGCAGCTACTTCTTAAAAATGGTAATTCTGGTATGTCTCACAAGGATACATTGTATAAACAGAAATGCTAACAGTCAAGTGTATCTTATTGAAATTTTCAAATGAATAAACTATCAGCACAGCTAAAATTTACTTTGGAAGTTCTGAATATAAGGAAAGGTTTATTATTCAAAAGATGCATGCTGTTTGTGTTAAGGAATTAGGTACAGCCCCCCGCCCCCAAATTCAAGTCATAAGGGCAATTCTAGATAGGATGCTATGGGATAGGTAGCAATAGTTGTTTATTTATTTATTATGTAGTTGAGGATAACTCCTAACTTCTGGTCCTCCTGCCTCTACCATCCCAGTGCTGGGACAATGATAACAGGTACGCAGCACCAGGTCCAGTTTATGCAGTGCTAATGAATCAAACTCAGAGTTTTGTTCGTGGCAGACACCCATTCTACCAACTGAACTGCATCCCTGGCCTCAGAGGTTTTAGTTATAGTAAAAATCTGGCTCTGACGGAGATGATCAAGATTTAAGTAACACCCTAAGCCAGAAATGGTGACAATAGCTCTTACTTTGGACTAACAGAAAGATAAAATAAGCTAGAAGGTATATGAAAAAAAAATGCCTAATTCAGCATCCAACTTTTAGGCAGTTTAAGCCATGAAATAATGGTCACCCTACATGAGCACCCAGCATTTCCTTATAAAATAGTGACATTAATAGTAGTAATGGTGGGGGCCACTATTAGAGGGTGACCTTCATGGGTTAGGAATTAAAAGTAAAGAACCTTATAGTTATCTCCTCAGAGATGACTCATATGTATATGTATTACTGCTTGTTTGTTTATATACATATATTATTGCTTGTTTATATGTATATACATGTATATTATTGCTTGTTTATATGTGACTATATATACAGGTATATGTATTATTGCTTATTTATATGAATATGTACATGTATATGTATTATTGCTTATTTATATGTATATATGTACATGTATATGCATTATTGCTTGTTTATATGTATACATGTATTATTGCTTGTTTATATGTGACTATATATACATGTATATGTATTATTGCTTATTTATATGTATATATGTACATGTATATGTATTATTGCTTATTTATATGTATATAT